AATAATCGACAAACCTTGATAAACACGCACTGGAAAATCATAGAATTTACGCATTTCACGTTTTACATCGTGTAGTCTAGCCAGGAGTTAGGCTTGATGATACTGATACTAAAAGAACACATATTTTTGTCACTGCAATGAAAAGAAGAATTTTTGAGTTTTTTCAATTTACTTGTAAAAATTAGAAAAATTTCACGTCACCTGTTGCTTATTAACCCACACCATAACTGTAAATAGCTATAAAAAGCTGATTTCATAGTTTCAAAGTCTTGATACTAGTAATTTTCCAACCTTATCAGCTATTCTCTTCTTTTAATCAGCTTCCGGAAATGTACCAATATATGCTTTTTAAAAAATTTTCAGAGTCTGATTTTCTGGGAAGCGTTATATTTGCTTATTTACAGCTATATTTCAATGAGTCACACGGACTTAATCATTCCCGCGTTTAAATTTAAACATGGATTATATTAAGATGATTGTCGATTCTCTCCGTTAAAATTCTTTATTAATTGGAAAACTTGTGAAGGCTACGAAGGAATCACCATCTTGATGGCTATGTGCTCAAGTGGAATCCCACTCAAGTTCATTGTGTTCAGTCTTCAATTAATCGAAAAGGTTCTCGAAACTTCAGTTGAGAAACAAACAGACATAACTATATGAGGAACAAAGTTCCCCCCAGGGTCACGGCGGGTCATACGGTTTTCTTAAAGATTCTGTTGCTGATTTTCGTAAAAAAGTCAAGAGAACTGCGTCATTTTAGATTCAAAAAAGTGTTTTTTTTCAATTCTACAAAGCTTCGGTATGAGCAAAGCCTCACTTTGCATTTCCTGGCTTAAATTCAAAATTTTAATGTCAGTCAGCCTTCGTAGAAGTCTTTTGTTTCTTTGGGCCAAACGTTAGAAGAGTAGTGCTTATAGGAGCGTAAAGAACAATATTACCTCTTAAATTTAAATTTTAAAGTTAAGAAAATTTTATTTGTGAGCCCCTTTATCAGCGCTCAGCTGGAAATAAAGAGCGGGAGCCCCATCGACCATCATTCATAGTTCATGTTAATTTTCACCTGCCTCTTTCAAGGCTATTTAATAGTAGCAAAATCAATAGGGACCCTTAGCAGTTAGGAAGGCAACGCCAAGGAGGTTGCCAATTTAAAATGAATGTATATATATTTATATAGTTGGAATTTCGCGAATGATAGGATGTGTTCACCATTTCTTACGGCGCCGCAATTTAACCTCAGCATAACGTATGAGGGCGGCGTTGACTTCCAAATAAAAACTTAAATAATTTGCCGTCGGGGTTTCCTTTCTCGGACCACGCAAAATTTGATGTTTTCACGTTATTATTTTGCAGAGGACGGCTAAGAAATGTACACAGTTTTGAAAGACACGTGCTGAGCTGTAGTTCTGCTCATTAGCCCTTTTGTTTTCCCACGTTCTCGTTGCCGTCGTGCTTTGCTAAAAGTCCTTAATTCCTTTGTGAAAGGAATGAAAGTATTGTTTATTTCATTCCTTTCAATAGCAAGAAAGACAACGAGTTTTGACATCCAGCTGTAAGTATTTATTTTCCTGAATGAAAGACAATTTAAAGATTAAAAGGGGATTGGCGATCTCTGGCCTCTACCGCTTCTTGTTGTGAAGTTACTTGTTTTGTTTGTGATCACTATACTTGAATGTATATATATTTATATAGTTGGAATTTCGCGAATGATAGGATGTGTTCACCATTTCTTACGGCGCCGCAATTTAACCTCAGCATAACGTATGAGGGCGGCGTTGACTTCCAAATAAAAACTTAAATAATTTGCCGTCGGGGTTTCCTTTCTCGGACCACGCAAAATTTGATGTTTTCACGTTATTATTTTGCAGATGACGGCTAAGAAATGTACATAGTTTTGAAAGACACGTGCTGAGCTGTCGTTCTGCTCATTAGCCCTTTTTGTTTTCCCACGTTCTCGTTGCCGTCGCCGTCGTGCTTTGCTAAAAGTCCTTAATTACTTTGTGAAAGGAACGAAACTATTGTTTATTTCATTCCTTTCAATAGCAAGACAACGAGTTTTGACATCCAGCTGTAAGTAGTTATTTTTCTGAATGAAAGACAATTTAAAGATTAAAAGGGGATTGGCGATCTCTGGCCTCTACCGCTTCTTGTTGTGAAGTTACTTGTTTGTTTGTGATCACTATACTTCAAAAATAATTAAAGACGCATTGCAACGTGTATCCTCCCACGACTGTAAGAAAGAAGGTGAAACTCGTCTTGTGTTTTAGCTATTAAGACACTTTTGTGGAGGGTTAAAAGAAAAGAAAAGAAAAAAAACGGCTATTCAACTGAATGGCACTCAACTCCTCTTAGGAAACGAACGAAAATATTGTGCGGAATTAGTTTTCCTTTTTAATCGTAGGAAAATAAGTTTTGGCACCCAGGTGTAAGTTTTTTTTTTCGTGATGGTGACCTCCACCCTTTTTTTTTTTAATTTTTATTTTTTTTAAACAATTTTATTTAGAAGACGATCACTTACACTACTTACGACCTACATTCTTTATCTCTGTTTTTTTCTGTTCCTTACTAGGAGGTTTGATTGTTTCGAATGGTGAAAAGGTGGAAGTCTTCACCTCGTATCGAGGGGCAAGGCAAAAATTGGAAAATCAGTGGAGGAAAGAGGAGGTAAGTTGATATAATTCCCATTTGGACAGCCAGCTTAACAAGGTAAAATCCTTTTTTGATCTAGATGCAAACGTGTTTGCGTTTAAGCATTCAATGCCAGCCGGATGACCAGTTTATGTAGGAAAATTTTCGTAGGACTTTAACAACGGCGGAGTAGAAAGCTTCAGGTCACCAAACCAAATACAAGTACACTCAAGGTACATTATAAAAGTTTAAAATTAAATTAATAAGGTGATTTTACAGAAAATGCTAAGCGAAAGAATCATTTTCTTCCTTATAATTCTTCTCGAGGAAAACTGTGAGACGCTATGTAAAGTGTAGAAAAGGTATCGAAGCTAAATTAATTCAAGTCACTCCCTAAACACGGAGGGCACACTAACTCTTAGCTATAATTATTATGAATTTTCCGTTGGCAGTTAATAGACTGAAGAAATACTATCAACAATAAATTGTTTCGGAGAGAAACATTATCTAACCAATTCGTTTTTAAATCTAGGTCTAAATGTAATATATCAGACATCGTTCATGACACTTTTGCTGGGTTGAAAACTTTCTTACATCACATGACTTCGTATCTTAAAAATCGATATATTTTTATCCAATAATGTGGCTCACGGAATTCTATCTTGTTATCAAGTTACAAGATGTATTCAGTTAGTTCACGGACAAAATATGGAAACTTCGCCTGAAATATTTTTGATACCAGCGTGTTCAGAGGAGACCCTCCTCTTCGACCTTAATTTATTTAAAAAATTCACCAATTTGTACGAAAGAATTCTCAAAATGCAGGCGTCAATCGGGCTGAAAAGGCATATAAGTGCATAGCTTATACACCAATGAGGTCACCGATTGCCTCAAACCCGCGGGCTTATCTCTAATTTTCATCCACTAACATCTTAAAATTTATGTGTTGAATTTTCTCAATTGCGCTCGTGTCAAAAATCATTCGCATAATTCTGAAAATTGACTGAGATCTCGTTTGTTTATCTTTTACGCGGAGGATTTTAGGTTTTCATAACAACTGAATGGAGAATGGATGCTAAGTTTGCGTAAACGCGATCGATCGTAACGCTGGCGCTGGCGCGTGACTTTCAAAGTAAACAAATGTGATCATAAGGCGCCTTCTCAATAATTTTCGTTGAAACATCTGGTCATCAACTACGCACAGTGCGAAGAAGATCAAAATTAAAGAAAAACATTTGGCACTCTGGTCATCGCAGACATATTGCGTAGCATAAAAGGACACACAAACAAGTTAAAATACGTTACAGTGTTATTTACAAAACGACACGCATTCACTTTGAAAGAATTCTTGCTGTTTCTCCCGAGATTTAGCACACGGAACGAAATGAAATAGCCCTCCTTTCTGCAAATTTGTTTCCATCATTAACGATGTAACGCTGTCACGGACCACAACGGTTTTGGGCGACAAACTCAACATTTCCCTGCGGCAATCAAAATCAACTTGATGTATTGCGTGACGTGTTTGCTAATTTTTCCTTTGTCAAATACTTGTTTCGTTGGTTATAAAAAATAAGAACAAAATTAGTTAATGTAACGAATTAGAATCGAAAGTTATTAAAATGGACTGCAGAATTTTACATTTGATTGAGGATTTTATTTTTAAAAATGTTTATTTGATTCATGGAAAGCAAAGATTGTAGTAGCTGCGTGTACTTCAGCTCTGATTTCTCTCCTGGAATGCCTGGACGACGTATCGAGTCATTCGGATTACTACCAGCTATCCAGCGAAGTCCTCAAACAAAATTTAATTTTGTTTCGTTCCGATCATTCTAGCCTCGAAATGGAAAAATAAGCTCAGGTTAGCTGCAGGGAACGTTTACGGCTCCTTTTGTAGAGCATTCCTTAGAGAAACCATCGAGAAGCAATTTCGTTTGGGCTTAAATGTTTGCCTAATCTTCTTTTCGAAATTCCGCAAATAGGTGATTCTGTAGTGAAGATCAACTTCGCAGCGAGACGAGTGCACTCTCTTCTGTCTTCAAAAACTTTTACTGACTCAATATGGTAATGGCACTTTCGGCTAACGACTAAAATTTTGGCAATTTTACTGCCAACGACTATTTTCTTTCCGTTGCAATTAAAAAAAAATGTTATGGTTAATGCTTTAAGGGAAATAATTTCCTAGTTAATTTAACAAAAAGCTTTCATGCATTTTCAACAAATAAGCTAATGTTTGATATTATGAAATTTTATCAAGGGAGGTCGCTTTCAAGCAAGAGACCCAAATATCTATTCGTTTCGTTCCAGATTACCTCATGCTTGTCAAATGAAACAATCATGTATCTTTTATTTCTTCACATTGATATAGTGCCATCGCTATGGGTATCGTAGAATATCTTCAAGTCATGCTGTTTGTATTTAATTTGACTCTCTCCACTGCGGCAAAGAAAGCGGTAAATTGTCAAAACTTCAAGTTTGTTATGGATGAAGATGTCGTCTATAATCACATTCTTGAGGGTCACGTGTTTCAAAGATTGACAGTCCACAGCGCCATCCAGTGTCACGTGAAGTGCAAAGATGACTGTTTATGCGTATCCATGAACTATTTCCCTTACTCCATGGAAAATAACTGCGAACTTAACGTTGCCAACAAAGTCATGGAACCAGCGGCGATGAAACGGAGGCAAGAAGGAAATTATTATGATTTAGTGAGAAGCTACACGGTGAAGGTGAGATGACATTGTTTATGAAATTCCTTTTTCATTTATTTATAAACTTTCGTAAATAAAATAAATATTCCCACATGATCAAGTTTTCCGGTACTCCTTAAAAAACAGTTCTTTTTAAAATGTTTTATATGTCAGTTCGGGCAAAGAAAATTTTGTGCATACCATTTTGATTGATTTAGACAAAATCAAAACAAACTGATTTGGCTGAGAGAGGATTGGGTTCATTATCTTTCTCGCAAACTTTTTCTAAGCGGCCATGTTGCAATGCGAAGGGGACGGCAGAACCAAAGTGACAACAAATTGCATAAAGACGTCATTGACTTAACCATTGCTGTATTACTACATTTCAAATGAAATTTTGATGGACATTTCATCTCCATTCTGGCACCCCGCTATGTGTTGCGTGCACACGTACTTTGCTCGCACTGTTTGTTATCAATTCGATCCGTTTCCAATAAGATTTGTCGATGGTTACTCAAACGTACATGCCAACCCAATTCGATGAACATGCTGAGCTAAAATTAACAATTGGTTCATACGTCAGCGTGCGTTCATCGAGATATGAAGCACGCGGGAAGTTTGAAAATCTTTTTCTCGAGGGATTTGTTCGCTGACGTCATGAGCGTGCACAATAGGAATATAAAGCACGCTCGTGCAATTGAATTTGATTAGACAAATTTACTAGCTATGTTATAAAAAACCTTTGAATGTTGCTGTAGGGTGGAGACAAATACACGCCAGAGAAGCATCATTGCATTAACAGATGCTGCCGCACCAATCCTTGTCTCAATGGAGGGGTATGTCAGGAGATTTGTGACACTCACAGCACCAGGTTTAACTGTACCTGTCCTAACACATACTCTGGTCAGCGGTGTGAGAAGATGAAACATCCGAGAAGCTGCAAAGACATAGCTAAGAACGGTGCCTCGACATCAGGAAAATACGACATCTACGATTCAAACAGTGAACGGTTTTCTGTTTACTGTGACTTGCAGTCTGAACCTGGCTTTGTATGGACGTTAATACAATCGTTTTCCTTGGCTAAGAGAAAAGCCTTCACGAATGCAGGGTTTGGCAAGAACTTTGAGATTGATATTGAAGAGGGGGAAGTGAATTGGAACGAGTTCCGACTATCCTTATTACAGATGCAGTCTCTTGCTATTTACTCCACACATCTGAGAGTAACCTGTAACTTTTCTATGGATGGTTTGCAGTTTACGGACTACGCACGCGCTAAGCTGGCAGGTCATGACATTTTTGGTACCTGGGTGACATGTCAGATGTACGAATATGTTAACATCCGAGGAATCCATTGCTCTAATTGCACTGCCCTGACAAAACAGCTGGAAGATACGTCTTGGCACATAAAGAGTGACAAGAGCATAGAAGCCGGATGTGAATTTGATGGAAAACCAGGTGCAGTCCCTGATGAAAAAAATTTCGGACAATTTCACGACCGTACTAAAAATCAGCATCACCGCTGCTCGTTTTCTCCTGCGTCCACAACGCAGCATTGGTTTGGAGCTAAATATGAATTGTAACTTTTTGTGAATTAATTTTCTTTCACAGAAAAGGAAACTCGGCCAACTGAAAGCAAGAAAACATCGGAGCGAGGCTAAGAACTAACGATGACATCATGTGCCTTCAAGTTTGGTCCAATTAGGAGTTGAACTTCAACTAAACGTTTAATATTTCAGATAGTTACACGACTCTTTATCGCAGAGGAATGTAGATATGCACAAGAGAGACGTTATAAGCAACCTTCATTGAAGAGCGTCCATATTTTAATAGTTGAAGTAAGCAGGCGGTCTCTCTACCAACACTTTTTACGTGCACTTTCATCTCTTCATGTGATGTTCCATAAATAGTACACTTACATCTTAAAAGTCAAGGTCGATAAAGTTGCCCTTTTTTCATATTCGTCTTTGAAGACGCATTCAGAGCTCACCATTAGTTGATTTATGCAAATTATTTTCAAGCAAGTGAATAACCATATATTGAAATGCTTGTGTTTAGATTCAGAGATATTACCGTACGCTATTAATCTAAGTATGACGTGTTTTCTCGTCGAAGTGCGACATATTCTTGACTCGGTCAATCAACCGTTTTCTCTTTACTGATAATTGAAAATTAGCTTCGGCCTCGTTAGTTTGATCATTAGTAAAACCAAGCTTTAAGTTTAGGTTTCTTGATTCGCTTTAAAAAATCCGCACAGTGAGGAGAAATGGTATTTACTTAGTGACAGGGAGATGTTAAGAATCTCTCCTTAGTGATAAATATGTACAGCTTTGCTTGATTTTAATATTAGGGGCTCGATACATAACTGTGAGAAGCCCTCAACAGCCTTTCTTAAACAGGGACTAAGGTACTTAAGTGCTTCGTTAAGATCACCGCTTACTTTACAACATTGCATTTGTTCTTAAAACATTTCTGAAATGTTCAAAATGTAGGAGATAAAGTTGGTATAGTAGTTGCAGCAGGTGTTTGTGAAGAGAAGCACCAGTGTACATAACACTTGTTGTACATAATGTGAGACATCATCTTATTACATTGTCATATTACTTGTGAACAGTTGATGCTCATCGTAACATCACGAACTTTTGTTCGTTTTTTTCAAAGTCGTACTCCAGACTTTTACTTTAAGCTTGTGGATTTGCAGCGACATTACATTGTTGGACACACTGTCGATACATTATCAAATAAAAATCGAAGTTTTCGTGAAATAGAAGTTGTTTTTCTCTAGTTATAGAGTTCACCATTTAAAATACACGTTTACGAAGTTTGAAACGTTCAGTGACAAAATTGACGATTTTACAAGCTCTTAAAGCTATGCCATTTTCCCTTCAAAAATGGTATTCGAATTGCGCGGCCAAAGTACCATTTGACCAAAAACCAATGACGTCACTTGGTAACAGAAGATCGATTTTGTATGGCGAATAGAAAGACACGCTGCAACGAGGGGGCGATATTGTGTTGTTGGTGCCCCTGACCGGCAAAGTTCTCAGAATACATCGTTCACACATAGAATGTTTCAGTTCCCGAACGATCCCGACTGTTAAAGGAAAATGGGTGAAATTTGTTCGCAGACACAGACACGATTTTTATGATACAACTTGGCAGTATACGTCGCTTTGTTCGACAAATTTTGAAGAATCATGCAATGAGCAAAACTTATCCAGACTGAACAGCATGGAGGTCCAAGGGATAAAGATGAACCGTTTTTTGAGAAACGACACTGTGCCAACCAGGGACACTAGTTTTGTGCGTAGTGTAAATGAAATTTTAGTGTTTCTGTAGTCGTTTCTTCAATTTTTTTTCCAATTTTTTCTCTCTGGACACTAATACTGCTTAATTACATAATTCCGAACGTTCATCTCCTGTAATGTTCAAATAGAAACCTACTTCAAATATCATCAAAGGTGACGGATACAAAAGTAAGGAGGGTTGGGTGAGGTAATTTCAAATTGGACTTTTTCTCGTTTTGAACATTTGTTTTTGTGGGTCCCTTTACAAAGAGCTCAGCCAAAAATATAGAGCTGGAGCCGGACGACCATCATTCATAGTTCATGTTAGTTTTTCACCTGCTTCTCTCAAGGCTATTTAACAGTAGCAAAATCAATTCCTCTCTGGAAACGAACGAAACCATGGTTTACTTCATTCTTTTCAATTGTGAGACAACGTGTTTTGACACCCAGATGTAAGTTTTTTTTCCTGCATGAAAGACAAGTTAAATATTAAAAGGGTATCGGCGATCTCTTTTATTTGTCTCTGGTCTCTATCGCTTCTTGTTGTGAAATTATTTTTTTTGTTTGTGATCACTACTCCAAAGATAATTAAGATACACATTGCGCATATATCCTCTCACGACTGAAAAAAACGGTAAAACTCTTGTTTTTTAAGCTAGAGAGTTCTGTAGAGGGTTAAAAGCAAAAAAAAAAAAGCTATTCATCTGAATCAAACTGAACTCCTCCTTGGAAACGTACGAAAATACCGTAGTCAATTTTTTTTTACTTTTAATTGTGGAACAACAAGTTTTGGCACCCAGCTGTAAGTATCGATTTTTCTTGATGGCGACCTCCATTCTTTGTTTCTAGTCTCTTTTGTTTCTCATTGTGAATTTTAATTGTTCTGAGTGATAAAAAGGTGGAAGTCTTTATCTCATATTGAGGGGCAAAGCAAAAATTGGTAAGTCAGAGGAAAAAAGAGGAGGTAAGTTGAGATAATTCCTATTTGAACGGCTAACTCAAAATGGTTAAATCTGGTTTTTAATCTAGATACAAACGTTACTATAACTGTTTGCGTTTAGGCATCCATGCCAGCCGAATGACCAGTATATATGGGAAAATTTCTAAGGACTTCAACGACGAGAAGAAAGCTTCAGGTCACCGGACCAAATACAAGTACGCTCAAGGTACATTGTAAAAGGTAGAAATCCTAGGATGAAATTAATGTATCGTTTTGTCTATTAAATTAGCAGAGTGATGTTATAGGAAATGCTAAGTGCAAGCATCATTTTCATCCCTATGATTCTTCTCGAGGAAAAGCGTGAGACGCGATGTTAAGTGCCAAAAGGGATTTGAAACTGAATTGACTAAAGTCACGCCCTGACACACAGAGGGCACACTAACTCTTTGCTACAATTATTATAAATTTTCCGTTGGCAGTTACTGGACTGAAGAAATCATATCAACAATAAATTGTTTTGGAAAGAAGCAGTATCTAACCAATTCGTGTTTACATCTAGATGTGATACATCAGACATCATTCATGACACATTTGTCAGCTTGAAAACTTTCTTGCGTCAAATGACTTCCTATCTTAAATATCGATATATTCTAGGCAACTTCTCGCGACAAAATGGGTGGAAAAAAAATTGACAGAAAACTTTAGTGTTTTTGTTGCATGTCAACTGTGTGAGAGTTTTTGCGCATATCTGAAGCATCTGAGTATTTGCGAAAGGGTTTTCTTTGTTTATCGCATGTTATAAATCGATAATATAACTTCGATAAATAACCTAATCTTCGAATGAAGAATTAGGTTATTCACGAAGCCTTCACAAATGAAAGGTTTGGCTTGAATTTTGAGATTAATAATGACAAAAAAAGTGGTTTGGAACGTGTACCGACTATCCTTATCACAGATGCGTCTCTTGCAAATCACTCGTCACGTCTGAGAGCAACCTGTAACTTTTCTACAGATGGTCTGCAGTATAAGGACTACTCACGTGCCAAGCTAGCAGGTCATGACATTTTTGGCGACTGGGTCAGCTGTCAGATGTATGAATATGTTAACATCCGTGGAAACAATTGTCCTTATTGCACCACCCTAACAAGACAACAAGTAGAGGCATCCTGGCACATATGGAGTTACAATAGCATTGAGAGGGAATTTAAAATTAATGGAAAGGCATAAGGACTCATCGACAAGAAAAACAATTTCGGAGAGTATAGCTGCGACGATATAAATCAGGATCACCGCCACTCGTCTTTGCCTCCTTCTATAACCCAGCACTGGTTTGGAGCTAAATATGACGTGTAACTTTCTGTGGATTCATTTTCGTCCTCAGAAAAGGAAACTCAGCCATCAAAATACGACTGAGAAACCATTAGAGCTAGGCTTAGAACATACAATGACATCATATGTATGCTTTCAAAAGTGGTCCACCTTAGGAGTTGAACTTGATCTATCAAAGAGGAATGTAGAAAAACACGAGAGCTACGTCGTAGGCAACCCTAAATACTCAGCATCTATATTTTAATGTTTGAATTTTGCGTTTTCAGGCGGTCTCTCTAGAAGCGCTTTTTACCTTGACTTTCATTATTCATGTGATGTTCCATAGATAACACACTTATATTTTCATTCACTTACTCGTTAATTAAACTTACTCGTTCGTTGCGCTCACTCGTTCATTTTTTGTGCTGTACCGCAAATCGTGAATAAAAATCGCTGGTACGCAATTTCCATGGAATTACCTCTATTAGTTGTTATATCTCTTCTGAAATAACAACTATCAATTTCTATTGTAGTCTTGAAAGCAACTGAGACAACCAATCGTTCATATTAATATTGCTTCGATAAAATCAAGTCGGGGACATGTGGTCCCTGGAAGAGTACTTTTAATGAAGAGATTTGATTGATATGTACTGACTGAAGTTAGTGCAGGTTAAGATTGATGGTCCTTGATATCTCACGCCATTTTTTTCGTTATGTCGTTATAAAGATAACACATTGCGGAGCTTGTCACATATCCTTTTAAAACATTGCTAACTGATCGTCCTGCTGGGCTTTCTTCAAGAGTAATTTGTTCCTGTTTTGTGTGTTCGTAAAAATACCCCGTGAAAGAATAAGGTGTTGTATGACATACACTCCCGTGAAATAGACAAGAGGAGAGACTCAAATTGTCGTCTTGATTAAACCAATGTCGAAATTTTACACAACCCCTGCATGATGAAATCTTTTGTAATTTTGTAAATTCTATGATAACATCTGCAGTCATATACTAGCTTACCGTTGATGTAACCAAAAGACTAATTATCTTAGG